TCTGCATGGTCCTGTTAAATGGCTTGACCATTAAATACCCCCCATTACAACTAAAGACTCCCAACAAGACTGCTGTTCATGCCATTTGAAATCCCTCGGTGTGTTTAACAGATGGCAGCACACTTTGTGAGGTGAAGGCATCCTTTGGCTTTTCAAAAACAAAGTAATCCGAATGCAGGAAATAAAGTCAGTAATGAGTCATACCATAGGCTGCTTGTTCATTGTTCGGGGCTCCAGAGCTATTAATATAAGTGGGTTGACTGATAGCCTTAACAAAATTAGTTGTGTTTACTGGTACTAGAATAGAATACAGATCTTTATTATCATTGTCATGAACGAAAGGCTCTTTAGCAGCTCACAAGGATGGACATAAATAGAAAAAACATAAATATATGACATTCAGGTAATGTATACAATAGTTTATTGGTCATACTTAGAATTATGTATGTGAACAAATTCCTAAACCCTTTTAATTTCCATTTGCTCACATCCAAGTTTTTTTTTTAAATTATTATTATTCAAAAAATCTCATAGACTAAAGGGATCAATCTTAAATAAAATGTTCTATATAGAACTTTGAAGGGTTCTGTCAGGCGCTTATAGAACATTTGAGGAGTTCCAATCATGGGATTCAATTTTAATTCATTTTGTTTTAAATCATTTTTATTTGTAACTAAATTTCGTGAATTAAACAGCTCGTAAACATACTTTATTACTAGAAAAAAATGAAAGTGATTAAACATGAAAGTGTTATGGAATCATTTAAGACATTTCTCCCTGTTTTACATTAAGGGTTCTTTAAAATTGAGTCCTATAGTGTCACGAATCACACACAGAAAGCATAGAATCCACGAGCAGTATCTTTAATAGCGTAGACGGGATGTGAACAGTCTCTGGCTGGGCAGACGGGGCGTAAACCATCTCACGACTACCCCCTCCACAGCGACTTCCACAGGTCCCGAGAAACTTGACCAACCGGGTCCCCTTAAAAAATTGATAACTTAACGACTGAGCCTGGGTTCTCCCAAGGTTTTTTTTCTCCATCCAGTCTGATGGAGTTTGGGTTCCTTGCCACTGTCGGCTTTTTTTTGGCTTGCTTTTGGCTTGCTTAGTTGGGGTTATTTAATATTTAACAATATTATTGATCTGTGTTGTACTACTTTCATGTTATCACTGTGAAGCTGCTTTGATGCAATCTGTATTGTGAAAAGCGCTATATAAATAAATGTGACTTGATTGTGGAGCTCAAAAGACGACTGGCAATGGGAGGTCAAAATAAGATTGGACCCCTTTGAATTTCATTGTATGGACAAAAAACACTTATACTTTTGGGTGAACTCTCAATTGCATGGTCCATAGAGAAATTAATACACTAGACATGGAACCTGTGGACAAATCAGAGGGCCTGTATACCTCAAGCCCATATCGTGCCTACTTTGGCCCAGTCTCCACCCAAATGAAAGCATACAACCACCATTTAATGAAACGTTTTTGGTTTCAAGGAAGTGAGTCATGACATAATTTATTCCTGTTAGGCTGTGAGTTTCCTGTTGTGGATCTAACATACATTAATGTAATGATTCAGCTCTGGCCTTAAATTAAAGATAGATGATGAATTGTGTATTCAAATGGCTCTGCTGGAGGTTTGAGGCTTCTCTGTCTAGACTAGATGCATCAGGAAATGACAAAAAATTATTGATGTTGCCTCCTTAAATGTCTGCAGAGAGAACAGGCCAAACTTCAACAAACCAATTGTAGCCTAAATATGCATTTCCATCAATCTAAAAATCCTTAAATCACTCACTAAATTGTTATAACTTATAACTCCTGTTATGATATCCTGTCCAAAAACAGGCTTTAGATTAGTAGGGCCTAATTAACCAGCATTTCTTCTAAAAATAGTCCCCCTCCCACCCATTTATAGCCCAAATTGTACACTTTAGCGACAATATAGGCAATAAAAGCTAAAAACATCATCCTGACCCCAAACTTTTGAGCAGCAGTGTTGTACCCCCTCAAAAAAATTGGCTTTCCTATAACTCACCTTGCATCATGTCCTGCATGAGGGATTCATCAAATCATGCTGCTTGCTGAGGAGATTTGAGCTATAATTTTCTAAGCAATCAGAGTAATGGGCAAAAAAAATACGATCATTAGAGGTTGGGTTCTTTTGACCTGGGCTGTATAAGCCAGGCCCTAACAACCCGCAGCTGGATAGCAACACACCACTCAGAACACCTTAGAAACCACATGGCCAATGGCAATGCCACATGGCAAGCAACCACCACTCACTCACCCTCTAAAAATATGGCTTTTAATGTCATCTTAAAGCCTCTTCTAAGGCTTCCATGAAACAAAGGAGCACACAAAAGCAACATGTAGCTGGCGTCCTGATTGTCCTGCAAGTTTCAGTTTTGTTCTCATGATTTGAAAGATAAATAAAAGTGGGGCATCGATAGAGTGAGTGGACATTCACAATAGAAGATGGGCGGAGCCGTCGTGCCTTATTCACACACCTGACATATGACTCCCGCATTTCAACAACAAGAGGGAGTTTCAGTGTGCTCTGTTTGACTGTTTAAGCACAGTTTTAGGGTTTGTTCACTATTTCAATGCACTGGCCCTCTCTGAGGAGTGTGTGAAGTTGAAGAAACCGCAGTATCAAAAATCTGTTTCTGCAATGTAATAAAGGGCAAGATAATCTGAGTATGATTGGTTGGTAATATAATCTCTCTGGGAGTCACATGTGTCTAACAACACCCTCCCAAACACATAAGCTTGCTTTTCTGGACTGTTTAAACTGAATTTGGATAGACTCGGGCTAAACAAAGATGGACACTGTTCCTGTTTTCAAGTTATAACTGGCAGGCATATTTCCAAGTTGGTCACAAGAAGGACATGCAGCTGACTGACATTCTTCCTGGGAAGGCTGCTTCCCGAGAGAGTGTCTGCCGTGGTTTGAGCTCCATTCCAGATCGGACTGCAGAGAGAGGAATTCCCTGGGCTGGGAAGTATTGTGAAAGTCCCTGGTCAGGACGACCTCGGAACAAAGGCCACCCAATCCCTGAAACAGGTGGCCCCTTCGGCTGGCCATGAATGAAAGGAACATTTGTGCGAGCCTCTAGAAACTGAACACTTTTCACTGGGCTCTCTTTTCAAGTTACTGCCTGCTCTCTTTTTTTTTCTTTCTTTGTGTTTCTGAATATGTACAATGACTTATTTCCAACTAACCGAACTAATCATTTTTTCTTCAATTTAAAATTTTAGAGGATCTATCTATCCATCCGTCCGTCCGTGGGACTTGGAAACTGGAAACTGGTTGAAGAGAAAGACCACTGGCCTATGAGACAAAGGACCTTGGCAAATTAACATTTGAACTCTCATCCCCACTCTTGCAGAGATCACCCAAACTCACACAAGAATATCCATCCATCCATCCAGCCCAACCAACCAGCCCAACCAACCCAGCCCCAACCAACCAACCCAGCCCCAACCAACCCAGCCCCAACCAACCCAGCCCAAACAATCCAGCCCAACCAACCAACCCAGCCCAAGCAACCAACCCAGCCCCAACCAACCCAGCCGAAGCAACCCACCCAGTCCCAACCAACCCACCCAGCCCCAAGCAACCAACCCAGCCCCAACCAACCCACCCAGCCCAACCAACCAACCAGCCCAACCAACCAACCCAGCCCAACCAAACCAACCCACCCAGCCCCAACCAACCCAGCCCAACCAACCAACCAACCCAGCCCCAACCAACCAACCAATCAACACCAACACACACTTTTGAATTATGCATTTGACTTATATTCTGATAAACATTGAAACGGACATCAATAATGACTTAAGTGCAATGGAATAGCAAGAAGATGATGGACTAACTCTGGTGAAGCTCTCTCAGATTGTGAGTATAGCAGTCGCTCCTCATGCGTCTGCTTTTTGTTGGGGCACAGTGTGTGTGTGCAGACATTCCTCAGCCACTGCCAGTCGCATGCCAGAACTGCCCGACCCCGCTTTGAACTGGGCCAAACATGTGACTCCAGTAATCCAGACAAACAGTTGTATTTACGAGAGAGAGAGAGAGAGAGATTTATAAAATATGGATTTATTATTGAACTCCGATATATTCATAATAAATTTAGCAGTGTTCTATTATTTTTGTTGGCATGATAAAGGTTTTGTGGGAAGAGCAGAGTAACACAAACAGTTTCTTGTATCGCCTAGTCAAATTGTCACAGGGTTACATATAAACAACAACACTGTCCAGTTTTTGAGTTTAGAGACAAAACGTCCAAACAAGACGTTCCATCCCACATCATTGCTCCATTTGTTCTGGTAGCATATGACAACTAAACAATCAAAGATGGGAGGAGAAAACGCATCCTGGTATAGAGTGAATACTTTGGATTGATGCTTTGTGACTTTTACTAATCCCATGTGAAGTTGAACTGATTATAAACAAACTTTCAGGTTCATAGAAATGCATTAGTATGCAGCAAGTGTTTCAGAGACCACAAGTACTATGAAGAAATTGCTGTGAATTTCCACTTGCTAAGATTCAGTTTGTGTACACAATTTAGCAGTTCTGCCCATTTCTTTGTAGCATGGATTTATTTGATTGTATTTGTCTGAAATGTGTTGTTGTGGTCCAACTGGCCCCAAACAGAAAACTTGCTATATTGGATAACAACATTTGCATTTCTGTCTGTCTACCTTGTTGCCTACAACACTGTCTGGATTAATGCTTCAATAATATAAAAAGTGTTGTTCATAAAAACGCTATAGCTTTGATGAGAAAAAAAACAGGAGTGATTGATAAATAGAACATTGTAAAATAAATAAATAAATAAAACAACTTGACAGAGATAACAGATTGTTTGGAGAAAATATTATTTGTAACACCGCAAATCATTGGCTGAAATTTAAACGAGAAGTGTTAGGAGGAACCTGATTGGATGTGAGTCCGCCAGCTCGCGAAAGGGTGGCGTTTCCAAGGATTCCGAGTCCGCTCGAGCCCCGATCCAGCGAGTGCGTCGAGTTGGACCGGGGAATAGGAAAACTTTCGTACTGTTTTTATCCACCTAAAACACTCGGGTTGAGAACAGGACACGGACCTGCCTTGTCGTTTAGACTCTTCTAACGAATTAATGAGGTTTTTCTTGTGCGCAATGGGCGTTTACAGCGTAACATCAGCGCTTTATTCCCAACAGGTAGGTGCTGGCTAGCCATTACAATACCAGTTAGCCTTTACTTTGTTTTGCTAGCTACTTATGCTAACCAGAGCACAATGTTTTATATATCACTCAGAATACTTAAACTTTATCCAACACGCAACGTGCCTAATGTGTTTACTCGTTAAAATTAAGTTTGACACTTTCAAAGTAAATATAAATACAGTCTATTGTGTTTGAGTAACGTACTCGACATCAATTCACGGCATAAAGTTTCCAGCGCTGTTAGCCGCTCACACACACACCAGTTGAGTCTGACCACACCAGATCAAAGCTCTCCGCTTACAATCAGATTAGACTCTCTGTCTTGGGTTATCATTTTATTTTAACAGGATTAAACTTGTTTTATCAACTCGTTTGTATGATATCTCAGAGTTTGAGCGTTTAATAAAGAAAGGTGAAGCCTCATGTAACCATGTGGCTCAAGGGAATGGCTCGCGTTTTGCTGGAATAAGCGACTTTTAGGGCGTTTATGTCGGCCGAAGTCTATTGGACACTGCTGTTTACGGGGTTACTTCAAAACACCTGTCAAAAAGAAACCAGAACAAATCGAAAATCGCGTCAAACGTGTGTAATATATGTATAGAGATCTGAATCTGGGCAGAGAACCATGAAATTGATTACAAAACACTATGCAATCTTGTTTTGAATCTTAAATAAGAAATTTCACTTTGAAAATTGTAGAACCAAAAATGTAAACATGTCAATAAACGAGTGAAATATTATGATCATGTCAAAGAGTACTTGTTTATTTTAGTAATTAAATGTTTTTTGTTTTTTTTAGTTTAATAAGGTGTGTTTAGTATTGATAAGAAGTTTTATTTTATTTTCTTCCCCAGGGTCTTTTACCCAAACATGTGGAAAAGCAACTCCAGTGTGATGTTGAAGCTGATCTGAGGAGATTTCTCTAGATGTTGGCTGGGGTAGTGAAATTATGGCAACACATTGGAGGAATTCAGGCGACGAGGATGAGCCGAATTACGCTGGCGGATCTCCGCATTGCGAGGTGAGACCCATGGTTTATCTTTACTGGATGCTTATTAAAGGGGCGGCCCCCCGGAGGGCCACAATATGGTGATGGATCTTCATGACCTTTTGGGTTACTAGTCCAGATCTCTATTGTAGGTTGATTGAGATAATCTACCATTCCTAAACGTTTCTTACATATCACTATTTTTTTTTTTTATTAAAAAGGGTATCTTTGAAGTCTCCATGATCTCTGATTTAAAAAAAAAAAATGCTTGTGTGCTCTGTTCCACCACAGATGTTTTTTATTCAGTGGACTGTTTGTCTTTGTGATTTGAATTGTGTGCTTGAGTAAGTTCAGGCAAAGCACCTTAAGAAAATACAGGTCTTTAAAACAATGAAAAATACTCTGTCATTTGTCAAAAGTTGATCTTGAATCCAGCATGAATGAGACGATTGAGATGTAAATAGCCTAGACAATCGGCTGAATTTCTGCTTCTGTTTCCTACAGAGTTTTGTGAGACTATGGGGGTGGACTATTGTTCCTTTTCAATTTTTTATTTCCTTTTAATATTACAAATGTTGTAGATTTTATAATCAAATGTTTTTAGTAAGTCAAACAACTTGAATCCAATGAATAATAATAATAATCATACTTTATTATTATTATTATTATTATTATCATCCTAAGACAGTAATATATTATAATACAACGGCACTGTAATTTTAAAAGTATATTTCTTGTTTTACTTTGTTACACTAGTAAACAATACTTTTTAATTTCCTCACTTGCGAGATTTAAACTTTTATTTTGCTGGGTGAACTTTAAGTTTCTGTCAGGTTTATGAGCATTTCTCATTACAATTCTAGAGGAATTCTGAAGAGGCACGATTTAAAACGTAGCACTACAGACAACATACTTCATTAAATCGCAGCCTTTTGCTATTTGTTAAGTGCATTAAGCCATATCGTAATTGTGATTTTAATTTAATAGACAGATGCTTTGCTAAACCAACAGAGAAATATAAGCTAATGTTAAAGGTCTTTTATGTTATAATGAGGAATGTAAATATTTTTGGGCTCATTATGACCTTTCAGATTAGACCGCCAAAGTCTACATGATTAATGGGAAACTCTGACTAACAAAATCTCAGCAGAAACATGTTGTTCAGGTCACAAGATTGAATTAAGTTGTGCTGTTGTGCAGCCTGTTGTTGTTGTGTCACTGACTGGTGTGGAATGCTCAAGCTGTGCCGCTGCTTTATCCGAATTCGCTCATTGTGTCCTGAATGCCAGCTGTAAATGTAATGCCTTGGCTTACCAATATTCTCGTATTGAAGAATTTCTCTTTTGCCAAAGTTCTGTGATGTGGTATTTCTCCATGCATTGTAGTAGCTACATTGTTTGATGGTTGTATCGCTGAGGTTTTGTTTCTAGCCATGTGTGCTAAACCTGTTTTCTAATGTGGGGAGTTTGCATATCAAAAGCAGTCTTTTGGAAGTCCTGGCTGGTTTTTATCTAGAACGATTTTTAGCTTTGGTTAACGCTTTGATTGTTGCTGAACTCTGTTGTTGTCCTGCAAACACGATGCTTTGATGCTTGAGCATTTGGCACAAAATCTGTGATTTTTCCACATTTTTTTATATAGTCTGGATCTGGAATGTATTTGCTGTCTGAAATTCCTTTTGTAGTTTATGAGAAACATGAAGGACTGTAATCTGTAATCATAAGTGTGTGCAGAAGAAATGAAATTCTTTGGATGCTCTTGAAGGAAATTCCCTGGCAGGCTTTTTCTCTAGCGAGGAGCTTCCGTTTATCTGCGACTTAGCTGTGGGGAAGCTTTTCAAAACGGTCTGAACCACACAGTCAGATCGCAGTGCAGCTACAATGCAAACAGCTGGTGTGAAACCCCTTTCCTTTAAACACATGGTCAATGTGGGGACCATCTGAATGCTGACACTGTCAAAATAAAACGTGCGAAATTGCTTTCACATTTCAGTTGTGCATTTGGCCTTAAATAGGAAGGTTTGTCTAGTTTTTTCTGCAAGTAAGTTAAGTAGTAACACTTAAGTTTCCCTTGCTCTCAGTTTGAGCCATCCAACGTGGTCTGGATCCTGCAGGCGGGATCCTGGTCTATGAATTAGTTTCATTTTTATTTTCAATTTGTTTTGCTGAAACACTTTGCAGAAGCAGGGTTTTCCTTTATTAAAAAGAAAGTGAAGTGAGCTAAAGGGAAAAAAGTTGAGTGGTGGTGATTTATCTTGGGTATTGCTGTCATGCTGTGATATTAGTTCCTTTTTTAGATGTAGTTAGCTTCCACGAATCAACATTTTTGTGCTCAGTCTGCCGAATCTATCCACTGGCCTTCTGAATGAAGACCTTTGTATAAACCCCTGTCCACATTCATGGCAGGTTGAAGGTCATCTATTTATAGAATCAGCCGATTTGTGCTCACATTAGCCCTCCCCTTTAATCTAATATTCGGCACAGTCTCTGTGTTTCTGCTGAAATGGAGTCAGAGGACGGGATGTCTCTCTTCTGCCAGCGGTAGGTCTGTCTTCATCAGGAGTTTTCACAAGGAAGGAAGGGAAACCTGTTGCCTGCATTTTGATTAGATGAACCAAACATTTAATGTGTACATTTGAAGATTTAAGTATTTGTCTGGTGCTTGTTCTGTGCGTCTCATTTTGATGGAAGAGAAAAATATACAACTCTATATTATCACTGGTTTTTGATTAGTAACGTATTTTTCCTCTGTAAAGTTTTATACTCAAGTGACTAATTTATTTCAACAGTCCTTGGTGTAAATAATATTAGCTCATCGTACTTGGCGTGCAGTAGTACGTTACTCATATTCAAAGTGTTAAAGGTCATTATGCACCGGCTTTGGAATGTCACAGAATTCTGTTCGGCAACTCTTGTACTGTGCATTTCCCAGTTCTTGTGCTATCTTAATGAGGATAGTTCAGACAGTAATTATAATTGTCATCATTTATGGCTCGTTTCCACTGAGTGGTACGGTACGGTACAGTTCGGTTCGGTACGCAATTATTTGCGTTTCCACTGTCAAATTTTGTGAATGGTACCAAAAAGCCGAACCGTACCGTACCACTTTTTGGGTACCCTTCCGTTTGGGTACCTAGCACAGTAAAAGGGTACTAAAAGGTGGAGCTAGACTCACTGCAGAACGCTGATTGGTGGACAGAGTATCGTCACTCGCGCGTGCTACAAGGGCATTAGAAGCATACAGTTGAAATATAGTACTACTGTTATTGTGTAACGAAATGTAGTTTTAAGAGTTTTTCAGGCGAGAAAGTAGTTTTTTAAAGCTCAAATCTGTGGTTTATTTATAGATTTATGATAATTTGACTGAGATCCATTCCAATCGATCACCGGACGCTCGCGTCCCCCGCCTGGAACAGCCTTTCCTCAGCTAGTCGTTCTGATGTTTGCCGCTGACTCGAATGTCTCTGTAGTGGTTAAACATGAGATATAGTTCGTCTTGTATAAACCTAACAGGTGATCTTTGGTCTCGTGAATCTATAATTCGTTCCCTGGCCAATAGTTTTGGCAGAAGGCTACGTGAAGTTTCATATCTTTGAGCGCTGAATTATATTTGACTGACTGAATTGTTTCTTGTTATTTATATCTAGTTATTTAAGCATTACTGTATATTTTTTTGTACCTTTTACTTATACTTTTATAATGGCTATTATTGATAAAACTGAATTTCAACAAAAAGAGATAGTTTTGTCTTTTTTTTATTTTATTAAGATCATCTGTAAGATCATCATGTTGTTTATTGCAACATTTGTACCAATGCGATATGCAATACATTACATTACATATTGCCTGGAATATGTTTAATATTTTTAAATTTAAACGAAAAGAGGCAGGGTTGTTTTATATTTAATTTTGTTATAAATATGGTCTAACGTTACATAGGCTTGCAGTGATAATCAATTGGCTATGCGTTGCCTGAACCACATTTGTCTGCTTTAGAATGTTTACAAAGTATTGAAATGAAATCGAAAAGAAGCAGAGTGGTGTTTTATAACATATTTCGTTTTATTGTTGCCTATGAACATACAGAGATAACCGGAGTCGCCTAGCCAGAGCGAGCAGAGTGCCGCATTCAAGAACGCGCTGTTCCATTAACAGAATTACTGGACTCGCGTCCTCGGGATCATTCTCCTGAGTCCGACTTTGCGTTGGCTTCTTGGAAACGCCTAATGCCAGCGCTTGTTTCTAGTGACAAACATGCCGAGAAGCAAGAACAAGATCTGCTGTCTGTCATCCATTATTTGTTTACTATGTCGCTTTCTTCGCGCGAAAATGACGTCGATCGCTTCTTTCCAGCATACCACGCCTATCAAGTAAGGGTACTGTTGGCGGTGGAAACGCAAGCCTGATCATGGTGTACCTGACCCGACCCGTACTGTACTGTACCGTACCGTACCCCTCAGTGGAAACGAGCCATTACTAACCCTAATGTTGTTCCAAACTTGAATGATTAATTTTCTTCATAAAAAAAAATATTTCGATCTCCAAGCTGTTCTTTTCCATTTAAAGATGTCTGTTGCTTTTAAGTTTGAAAATGTGTGAGATTTGCGCTGTGAATCTCAGTTGGTTTTTCATACAAATCTATTTTATGGCAGTAGACTTGGACTGTGGTCATGATATATAATTTTTTTTTGTATGGAAAATTTTAAAAATATCTTGTTACTTTAAAACGGCATCACCCCGTTGTTGTAATGTTGACACAATTTCCTTGTTAAATGCATTTGGGGTGGATTAAGTTGGGTGGAGTTGGTCTCTAACAATTTTTTTAAAATGTTTTTATAAATGCTGTTTAGTGCACACTGCATTTCTTGATTTCCCACCCCCCTTTTTGTTCTGGTTTCCTCATTGAATAAAGAGACGCTGGAGGGGTTGACTAATGCTTCCTCCTGTTACTTCACTGGTGAATAAATAACTCCTCATAGAACTTATATCTATGTGATGATTGGTTTTACTGATTAAAACTGACTTAAGCACTAT